CCCCATCGAATTTCAGACAAAAAAAAACCGGAAAAATCGAAAACGAATATTCAAAGATAGCTGAAACCCCTAAAAAGGTCTAGAAAAAAAAATCGGGGAAAAGGCAATTATTTTTTTCTCGGAAAATCGCCAGTTTCAAAAAAAAACCATTCGAGAACCTTCCAGAGTTTCCAGAAATGGATGGAACTGAGATTTTTCTCTTTTTGAAGCTTTTTCAGTGTTTTTTCTAATAAAAACCCTTACTCAAGCACAAATTTCTCGTCGCATCATGGGACAAAATTTTGGCTGGAGAATCGAATAAACACAGCATATTAAACCAAGTCCGGTAAATAAATGCACTTCATTCTCGTCTTCGTCAGCTGTCATTGGCACATTTTCAAACGGAATCACACTTTCGTCGCCTGGAATTTTTAATTTTAGGCTCCGCCCACTTTCAGCGAAAATCTTACCAATATCAATTTTCAAATAATCGTCTCCATACATTTTTCGACACACCAACACTGATAATCCCAGAATTTTCTTTGCCCAACATTCGATGATAGGGACCTGGAAAACAATATTTTTGTTGGAATTCGAGGATTTTATGAAAAATGTGCCGTAAAACCTGTATTAGAAGGGCCTGCCCTTCTATTGTTCCAAGGTACCTGCGGAGGGCCCTTCTATTACAGGGGCCTTTCAATTAGAGGGGGCCCTTCTATGTTTTCGGGCCAGTTTTTTCCGAAATTTTGCAACGAAGATATTCGACAAAGTTTCGTTCAAAATTCATGAAAATTTGCCAATTTTTCCAAAATTTAGCAAGATTTTCATCGAAAAATAGAGTTTCACAAATTTCTATTGAATTGTGGAGTTCCCGGAATATTTTCCACTGAACAAGTACGGAAATTTTCTGTCCTTTTTTACAGAGAGTCCTTCTATTACAGGGGGCTCTTCTATTTTTCCGAGCCCCTCTCGGAGGGCCCTTCTATTATATGGGCCTTTCTATTATTACTCTCGTCCGAAATCAATGCACGTTGCGGCCGAAAATTTACTCAAAATCGCATCGGCGGGCGCACAGCGAAGAAACAAATTGATGCATGCGCCTTTAAATACCGTACCTCGGACGTTTTTTTATTTTGGGCCCTATTTGGCTGCTTTTTTCTATTTTATAAGAAAAATAAATTAAAGATTTATAAGAATTACACAAAATTAGACAGAAACAAGCGAAAAAATGAGAGAAATTTGAGAAAATTCGATAAATGTTGAGGTACTGTATTAAAGGCGCGTGCAATAATTTTAAAAATACAGTAAGGTTCTCTCTGTGGGAGCTAAGCTCCGCCCACCGTTGTTTTCTCGGCCGCAACGTGCATTGATTTCGGACAAGAGTAATAAAGGGGCCCTTCTAATACAAGTTTTACGATATTTTGGAATTTTGATTATTGTAATTTCCGAATTTCCGAATTTCTCAATTTTTTTTTCGAGTTTTTTGAAATTCCAGATTCCTAAAATTTCTGAAATGTTCCAAATTTTTCCTCCGAGCTTTCAGCCATAAATTCCAGGCTGGAATTTCCAGCTATATCTGCCAACCTCCCAGCCAAAAAGACATTAAAACTCACATTATGCCTCCACCTCTTGGCCAACGTTGAAAGTGAGCTCCAATAGGTCAACGATGGAATATGCTCATTGAGCACTGCATTTAACCACATATCAAACAACGTATCAGTCACTCGAACACAAGTTCTCGTTCCCATTTCCTCAGTCGCATTCGGTTCCGATAGTAGAATATCAGAACTATTCAACAAGAAGCTTATCGTTCTCGCCCATACTTCATCTTGATACTTTCTACTTGAATTCCTTGTCAGATACTTCAATGAATCCAGAACCATATCAATCTCAATCGACTGTCTTTCTATTGCCAATCCACGTGGTACTTGAGAAGAACCGCCGAGTGTGGATTCAAGATCATCGTCACGTCTACAGAAGACCCAACGGAGAGCGTCGATGATGTTTCGGAAATATTTCTCTGGGGTTGCCAGTAGAGGAATCGGGATGTTGTTGTCTGGAGTGTCGCAGAGGGCACGAAGCCAGTGGAGATAGATTCGCACGGCGCCTGGGAATTTTCAGAATCTCATTTTAAGAATCGATTTTTCTAAAAATTTCGGATTTATAGCTTTAAAACATTGATTATTTATTGAAAAAAATCACCGTAGAACCTGTAACTATGAGCCAATTTATCTCAATTCCTGTCAAAGATATAAACAAGTTGTCAACTGATAAATTGTTCATCATAATATCACAAACCTTTTATCAGTTGACCAGTTTTTGATATCTCTTATAGAAGCCGAGATAAAAGAGTCCAAACTTGACAGTATGGAGACACTTCTATTACAGAATTCTAGAGTTGAAATCTGGATGATTTTTCAGAATTTTAAGCTTTTTTTTTAGTTGTTATTCTGGAAGCGCACGGTGGTCAAAGGTCTCACAACGACAACTACAGTAACCTAAAAATATTTGTATTTTCAGGATTTAATACAGAAATTTAGAAATTCAAAAATTCGGAAATTCGGGAATTCAGAAGATCAGAAATTCAAATATTGAGAAATTCAGAATTTCAAAAATTCGGAAATTCAAAAATTCAAAAACTCGAAAATCCAATTTTCGAGAATTTCGGCCTGTTTTTCACGACTTTTTTGAGGAAAAATAACTGAAAAATTGACTGAAAACGCACAAAAATCTGTTTCAAAATATCCGAAAAATAAAAATATCTTTAGGTTACTGTAGCTATCGTTGGGGGACCTTTCTTGGAACCAAAATAATAAAAATAGATATTTTTTGAGTTTTCGAAGTTGAGCTTCAGAAAATTTGTAACTTTTTTAGTTCCTTTTTTAGTGAAATTTTCGAATTTTCGGGAAAAAAATTTCCAATTTCAGTGATTTTTTGAAATTTTAAAAACGATTTTTCGACTTAAAAGTGACTGAAAATCTCAGATTTTTTCCAAAAATTCAGATTTTCTGTTTGTCTGTTTGTCCGGATGTCCTTATTAATACCAAAAATATGAAAATCACATTTTACAATTCACAACACAAAGAAGATAGTTCACTAAACAGAAGCATCTTAGAGAGGAGCATACCATTGTTTCGAAGGTTACTGTAGCTTTTTTACCGTACTTTTCCATTTAAATAAATATCGAAAACTATAGGAATAATAAACGAGAATTGTCTGAAATTTTTTGATTAAAGGAATTTCGGCTTTTTAGGTCAAATTTTGCAGATTTTCAGCTCCAAACCTACCTTTAAGTGTCTCATACTCTCGACTCGTCGCAAAAGAGAGTGTCAATGAGTGATTCAACACTTGCATACACCATTTCAAGTGTTCTTCGCTATTCAAACGAATCGATCCTCCATTCTCATCGGCATCCGATCGAGTCAGCTCGTAGAGAAGAGATGAGGCAACCGATTGGGATGTGGCTCTGCAATTTTTGGATTTTTGGGACATTTTGGGTGTTTTTTTGGATATTTTAGGGGTTTTTTGGGATATTTAATGCAAAAATTTAGACGGAAAACGAGATTTTCCAACTTTCTTTATTTGAAAAAATTGACTTTTTTAGTCGAAAAATCCATTTTTAGAGTTTTATCTGCAGAAAATGAGGTTCTGGGTTCAAAAATCCCAAAGGTCCTACAACGAAAACTACCGTAACCTAAAATATTTATAATTTTTCGGAATTAATGTTCTCGTTTTTTACTGATTTTCGTCGAGCAAAAAAATTTTCAAATTTTTGTAGTCGGAATTTCAAGTTTTTCGTAAAATATGGAAAAAAAGAGCTTTTTTCAATTTTTTTTAGAAAATGCTGCCAATTTTTATTGTTTTTTATTAGTTTTTTACCAGAAAATCTGTAAAATTTGGCATTTTTCAATGAGTTTTCCCCCTAAAAAATCTAAATTTCTTATCGAATATTTTCTCAAAGTGTTGATCTTCTTCTTCTCCTGGAGTCATCAATCTCTCTTCTTCTGAAGTTCTTCGGCAAAGATGAATACTTACTTGGTAAACAAGTCAAGAATACTCGAGTTGAGGTCCGAAAACTCGAGTGTCGGCCATTGCTCGTACATATCGCCGCATAAACGGACCTGAAAAAATAGGCGCGAAATTTGAATTTTTTGGGAAAAATTTGGGAGAAAACTTGCGAAAATTTGATATACATTTTTGGGATTTTTTGTTGATTTTTCTGAAATTTCAGCAATTTTTTCCAGTTTTTCGTCTATATTTTGGGGGTTTTGTTTTTCAATAGAAGCGTTTAAAACTGAATAAAAGGAGTAAATCTCAAGGTTACACAGAAGTTTTCGGTGGTTTTCAACTTGGAAAATAAGGAGAATATCGGTGAAATGATCTAGATGTTCCATCAGATAAGCCAGAAAAATCCAAAAAAAAAATCAGCGATTTACAAGTTGCTAACTAGGTCGTATTCCAACAAAAGGTGACGAATCTATACGGAAGGAAATGGTGGAAAAGGGAGAAAAGACTTGTACTCCTTACAAGACAGAGAGAGTACTCGATATTGAGAGACACAGATAAGCTGTGGAGGTACTGCGCATCTCGTCTTGACCATTTCCTATACCTCCGATTGGCCTTTTATCAATGCGCAAGAGGTCTCACTCTTTCTCTCGCGCAGGACGAGAGGAGGGTCAATTTGTAAAGGAGACGGGCCAATTAGTGAGGAAGTAGGTCACAAAATTTTAGAATTTTTTTAGAAATTTTTAGAAAAAAGTTCAGATTTGTAAATTAAGATTTGGGGCTTTAAATCATTTATTCTGTGCTTTTTAAAGTAAATAAAAGATTTATTTAATCCAATGTTTTCCGAGAGGAGTACACACGGTCAAAGTACGCAATTTATCGTAAAGGTGTTTGCACAGATTTGGAATTTAGGTTTTTTTTTGGAATAAAACAATTTGGTTTTTGGGCAGTTTTAAGCTCGAAATAAGGTTTTTCAGGAAAAGTTGATGTGAAAATGTAAAAAATCGAGTTAGAATTGCTCAGAAAGCAATGATTTCATAAAACATTGCCAGGAAAATCGAGAAAAACTGAAAAAAAAGAAAATTTTGAAATTCGTGATGTTCATACAGTTATTCTATGTATTTTTGCTTCGAAATAGCGGAAAAGGTAAGAAACAACGATATGAAAAAGTTTAAAAAAGCCAAAAACCTGGAAATAACGATTTTCCTATGGATTTCTCGCAAAAGCAAAAATTAGGAAAAATAAGATTTAATTTTGAGTTTTGTGACTGGAAAAGCTTATAAAACGAACAGTAAATCTAGCAAAATTGGAAATTATGCCAAAAATCGTTTCGAAATATCAAAAAAATTCGAAAAAAAATTTTTTTTTCCTTAATTTTCTACCTTGTAGGAAAAATCAAAAGCTATGAAATAATTCTCTAAAAATAGAAATCCCACCTCTCCAGGTTGATTCTTTCTCTTCTTTTTTCCGTTTTCCAAACCCGCCGCCGTCACTTCTGAATCCTCAGCTGTCGTTGTCGTTGGCGATGAAGAGATGACTCCTTCGGTCAGTGTGGGCAACTCCTTTAAAATGTTCACAATCTGCTCCATTCTCTCTCTCTCTCTCTCTCTCTCTCTCTCTCTCTCTCTCTCTCTCTCTGTTTCTGTGCTCTTGGCTCTTTCTCTCTGTGCTATGTTTACTTTTTCAGTTGGTTTAGTTTGGTAGGGAAGGGTGTCGACACTCGTGCGAAACGATTCGAGCAGACAAAAAAAACTATGGGAGAGGGGAGCAACAAGGAAAAACATTGCTCAAAATTCGAAAAAAAATCCTGGGTCGTAAATTTCAAAAATTTCAAAAATCTAATTTTAGAAACATCGAATGGAGAAACTTCTAGAACAACATCAAGTGACTTTTCTCCAAAAAAGTGAACGATCAAAACTTTTTTTCAGTTCCTACACAGCTGGAAATTGAAAGATGACCTTCACTTTTTCGGGGAAAACTAGGCAAATTTTGGTGGGGAAAAACAAAATAATTTATCTTGATCAAGCAGAATCGAATACTGCCATGTGACATTCTTTTAAAGATTTTTTTTCAAAAAATTCCATAGAACAAATGCGCTCTATTGGACTGAAAATTTAGAAAATTGAGCTGAAAATCCAATTTTTTACATTTTCTGTCTGTCAATCTGTGTGTCCAGATGTCACCCTACCTGATTGAATCCACTGAAAATCGACAGCTTTCTCATTGTGGTTCGTAGCATTTTCGCTGCGATTCATGAAGATCTAAAAATGGAAAAATCGACAAAAAACATAAGAAAGAATGAAACAAAAGCAATATGATTCATGGAAAATTGAGGAGATGGATGGGAAAAAAACATTGAAAAAGAACGAAATTTGGGAATTCAGAATATAAGAAACTTACAATTTTGGAAATTCAGGAATTCTGAAAACTCAGAAACTCAAGAGTTCAGTATTTCTTAAAATCTGGAATTCTGGCAATTAGAAATTGAAAAAAATTGGAAATCTGGAGAGTTGGAAATTGAAAAAATTCAAAAAGTTCAGATTCTCAGAATCCCGGAATTTAAGAATATCAGAATCTCAAATTCTCATGATCTCTGAATTTGAGAGATTCCGAATCTCAGAATCTCAGAATTGGAAAATTTCAAAATCTCAGAATTTCGAAAATCCAGAATCTTAGAATTTCAGAATCTTAGAATCTCAGAATTTCAAAATCTCAGGATTTCAAAATTCCAGAATCTCAGAATTTCAGAATTACAGAATCTTAGAATCTCAGAATCTCAGGATTTCAGAATTTCAGAATCTCAGAATCTCAGAAAACTCAGAAATTTTAGAAATTCAGTAGATTGGAAGTTCTGAAATACTGAAATTCAAAAATTCTGAACATCGGAAATCTTGAAAATTTGGAAATTCGAAAATATCAGAATTCTGAATCTCAAAAGTTCAAGAATTCTGAAATTTTCAAGAATTCTGAAATTTTAGAAAACAACGAAAGTACAAAAAAAAGTTTCAATAACTAGAAAACTGTCGGAAACCAAACTAAACATTTGTAAAAATTCCATTTTGCAAGAGATAATTACAAACTGAGTGAATTAGAGAAAGAGAGAGAAAAGGAGCAGTATAACTTTCTGTTTCCCTTTCTTTGGTGACTCATGTTTCTATATTTCATCTTATATGGAATACAGAGAGAGAAAGAGACAAAAAAAAGGACATTTGTTTGTTCTTCTTATTTCTTTTTTGTGGCTTTTTTTTGGTGTTACCGGTTTTTGATACCATTTTTAATTGGATGGGTTTTATTATTGGAGTTTTCTGGGAACTTTCTTGAGAAGTTGGTTTTTGTTTGAAAATCGAAAAAATAGAAAAATTTTCTGGAGGTTTTATATAGAAAAAGAAATTGCAAAAAAAGTGATTTTGAGATTCTGAGATTCTGAGATTCTGAGATTCTGAGATTCTGAGATTCTGAGGTTCGGAAATTCGGAAATTTTAATTGTAAAAATATCAAAGTTTCAGAATTTTCATAAAGCTCTGGTTCAACACACTTTCTTGATTATGAAACAAAATTTTTATTTTTTAAAAATTTCAGAATCTCAGAATCTTGGAATCCCAAAATCTCAGAATTTTCGGATATGAGAATTTCAAAATTTCAGAATTTCCGAGGTTCAGAATCTTGGAATCTCCGAATCTCAGAATCTTAGTACCTCAGAATCTCAGAATCTCAGAATCTCAGAATCTCAGAATTTCAGAATCTCAGAATCTCAGAATCTCAGAATCTCATATTCTCAAAACCACAGAAATTCCAGAACTTCAGAATCACAGTTTTTCAGAATTTAAGAATATCAGAATCTTAAAATGGAGAATTTCAGAATTTCAGGTTCTCAGAATCTCAGAGTCTCAGAATTTCAGAATCTCAGAATTTCAGAATATCAGAATCTCAGAATCCTAGAATTTCAGATTAGCTGAATTTCGTAAAATCGGAAATCCAAAATTCGGGATTTCAGGATCAGAATATCAGAATCGCAGAATATCAGAGGCTCAGAGATCTAAGAATTTAAGAAAACTAGATCATAAAAATTCCAGAATTTCAGAATCCTAGAATTTCAGAATAGTGAAACCTCGGAAAGAAACGTTTTCAAAAAAATTACAATATGGATCACACTTTTTTCTTCGAAATCCTAGTTTAGGAGACTCTTGTTTCCCCAAAAATCTCATAAATTCGAATGGCCATATAAATGTGTTTGTGGACAACAATAGTTATATTGTCATGGGAGAAAAAAGTGCGTGGGGGTGAATAATAAATGGGCACAGACAGAGAAATCGGAGGATTTTCGGAGCCAATATGGATAAAATTGAATTTTATTGTCCGGAAAGTAGAGAAAAACTAGAGTCAATTCGATTCATCAAATTTTCAGATTCATACGTATTCAGACCTTCAAATTCATGAAGTTATAAGGTCTGAAAAAGATTTCAATATTACTTTCTTGATTTTAGATTGGATTTTGAAGGAATTAATGAGCATTTTTGAAGGTTTTCCAGTTATGAGCTTTCATGTTCTGACAAAATGTTTAGAAAAATTTGATTAGAAAATTGCAGATTCATTCAAACGATGCAGATAAAAACAAACGAAAGGGAACACAGTAGTCTGGAAAAACATGATTACAACACAATGATAACAAATTAACAATGTTTGAAGTTACAGTGGAGCAATAATAATGTCATTGATCGTTCTTGCACTTTATATAAACTCGTTCAGCGTATTCTCTCGTCTCCGTTTTATATTCCCTGAATCTCCCATCCAAAAGATTCTTCAAAGTTCGGAACACCTCTTTGAACCCATCTAATCTTCTGGAAGACTTTTCGATGGACCTTATTGCAAACACAATACAATCATCTGTCGAATATTTGGATGTTAGAATCATATTCACGATATGTCCGTGGTCCAAAACGAAATGACTAAAATCCATGTCTATGCAGAATTTCTTGATTCGAGAATTGATATTTTCACGGTCAGCAATCACATTTTTCGCAAGAAGGAGACAGAAAATAGAGATTACCATAAACGGTATTCCAATCTCCTGATCTGAGCAATCATTATCTGTGTAGCTCCTGAAAAAAAGTTTGACATATTCCAAGGTGGTAGAGAAGTCCCTTGTTTGAAAAGTTAGGTCCAAACTGCTGAAGATTTCAAAGAACCGTATAAGCCTACTTGAACAAAAATCCTCGGTGGACAAAATGGTATCTTTTGAGAAAATGGTCAACTTTTAAGCCCTACAAAAATGATTCAAAATTGTTCAATTTGTTTGAAAATTTCAGAGTATATTAAACGAAAATAGAGCTTTATTTATATTGTTGACAACTTTCTTGTAGCTTTCTTGATTTTCAAGATATGCGCCTTTAAAAATGGTGACGCCTAAAGTCCAACATCGGAGGATACGGTATTATTAAAGAAACACATCTTAAAAACCAAAAAAGTTACAAAAAAATTGTCAACTACAGAAATGAAGTTTTTTAGCTATTTGGTATGCTCTGAAAATTTTAAATAGATTGACGAATTCTGAAATAGATTTTGAAGACTTCAAAGGCGACTACCCCACTTCGTCTAGTAGAACGCCATCCCCTCCTACAAACACTTTCAGCTCATTTATCTAGATTTCTGTGAAGGGTATGAAAATTTTTGTCAGCTGGCAAAGTTTTTATCATATTACCATCAACATTTTATCAGTTGACCAAATTTTGATTGCTCTTACAGGTATCGAGATAATTGAACTCGAAGTGCGCAGCAATCACAGGTGATTTGCGAACAATCCGTTACGGACGCTCCGCGTTCGCGCGCGGTTGAAATAGGAACCGATCCGATTGCGAATCATGACCAAACCGTATGTTTTATTGAGTCGGATACGGAGCTCGCAAACGGACAGGATACGGATCAATCCGAATAATGTACTGCTATTTACTGAAAACGGTTCGCGTGCGGTCCGTATGCGGTTCCTATTTCAACCGCGCGCGAACGCGAAGCGTCCGTAACGGACCCGTTCGCATTTTACTTGTGATTGTTATTTTTCCCTAAAAACTCACATCAAATTCTCCAAAACTTCTTCCGTGTAGCATTCTTTCAATTGATTTTCACTCATCATACCAGTCAGATGTCTCAAAACTTTCAAAACTCTCAGTTGGGGAACTTCTTTGAAATATTGTAACACAAGATTGAATTTTCGTACGTAGTTGTAGTCGTAATCATCCGAATTCCCTTTTTGCATGAACTTCGACGCCAGATCGATGATTCTCTCGTAGTAGTAGAAGTGTGAATCGTCAACCAATTTAAACAACTTTACGATCATTTCAGAATCTCGAGAGATAACTTGATATTGCTCCCAGCTCATCAAACGATCCGATTTTTCCAAAATCCTAAGGCCTTGTCGAGGAGTGGCATGTCGGTCGGCAATCATTGAAATCGTTTCTTCCATTAAAAAGTTCAAATGTTTGGTTGGGATTAATCTTCCAAGTGTCACTGAATTCACTGTACGCTCGAATATTTTTACCAACAATGGGAAAACATATTTTGTCACCCATTTATATTTCATCGAGCGACCTGTTCGGTAAAAGAGTGTCGTGATCGCTGGAACCTCGGATGAGAAAAAAGCGATGAAGCGATTGGTTCTGAAATATCCAATAAAATCTTTGAGATTCATACTACTCGACTAACTTACTCAAAGAATTTCGCTTCTGCGAAAATGTGAAACGCCGAGTATTTAACCACCGAGTTTTCCTTGGATCCATGTCGTAGAACATGACACAATGTTTTCAAGCAATCGTCAATTTCAGAATCTTGAAGTTTTTCGTGATCCGATTCAAACAACTTGAAAATGTGGAACATGCAGTGTTTGGAGAGCGCTTCATTGTTTGTCAAAAGAGTGTATTCTAAAGATTTGATGATGTTTTCCACTGAGCTATTATTGAGAACATTGATTTCATGAATTGAACCCTTTTCACATTCCGTGTCTGGAAATATGCTATTAAAGGACGTGGAACATACTTGTAAACTGGGCCATTCCCCGGATCTTTGCGAATCCTGTCATAGTTTCTTTCAGGATCAACATAGATATGATAGAACTCAACAAGCGCTACAAAATTATGCTGTTTGGAAAACCTATTTTAGTTGCAAGTGGTCAAGTTTAGATGCCTAAAAACACGGTAGATTTTGTTGAATGATACTGAAACTTTCAGAGTGTACTAAACAAACATGGAGCTTCAATTTTGTAGTTGACAACTTTTTCGTACAAATTCATCGAAATGAGATGTACCGCCGAAACCAACCAAATGTCAAATCTACCCCGAGGCGCGCTTTCCCACGGGATGCTCAACTGTTCGCTTTGATCCAATTTTTCTTGATTCCTGTGAGAGATATAAAAAAAGGTCAATTGATAAAATGTTCAGCATAGCATTACAAATTTTTGTTAGTTGGTCACTTTTTGATATTTTTTACAAGAACCGAGATAAACTGGCTTAATCAGGCGCAGGTGCAGCCTGCACTATTTTCATGAGATTAATGGTGGCACCAAGGCTAAACCTGTCAAAATTAGGATCGTTTTGAAGCTCTTAAAGTTCAGGTTACGGTGAGGTTTGATGGTTTTCTCCAGCTTTAATAAAACTTACCTATAGCTACCACAGCCTCCAGTTTCGGATGATTCTGAATGAACCCTCGAAGCTCGTGCTCCATGACAGATGTCATAGAACAATTCACAAACTCTAAACTTTGCATTCGAACCTTGTCCGCCAAAAGCGCTGCAATTATCCGATGGGGATTGTAGGCGTACCCAGTAGGTTTTCTGAAGACACACATTTTATGAAATCATTGTCTTTCCACTCACATTTTACTTGATACATCCAAATACTTCAAATGTTTTAATTCAGACAATTCTCGGTAACCATCTTCTTTGTCTTTGAGTCTTACATCACGCATCGTCAGTTTTTGTAAATTTTTGAGTTGTTTTATTCCTTTCAAATTAGTCAGACCTGTTGTAAAAGAGATGTCTAGAACTTGAAGGTTTGGAAATGCAATACAGAATTTTGAGAATTGAAATCTCTCATGAAAGATTTTGGAGCTAATTTCGATGCTTAGAAGATTGGGAAGAAGTTTGGTGATCTGAAAAAATAGAAGACCTCGAGAGCGAAATTTCAAAATGCCTTACATGTTTCTCCCAGCTCATCCCAAACTCTTGCTTTCCAGAAATTCCCAAATGAGTCATCATCTTTCGCGAGTTCCTATTCATCAGCCTATGTAAAAGACGCACTATGTTAATACTTTTGTTACTTCCATCTGGAAAAAGCGATGTTTTTGTCTTCAAAAACCCTCCGATTCCCTCACCATACCAATCCGGAAACTCGTCTCTCAACTGGCTCAATTCCCCAAGAGTCAGTGACCTCAAATTGGAAGTTTGTATGTTCGGAACATCTTCTTTATCAATTCGACACTTCCTCAAGTCCATTTTATCCACTTTCAATCGATTTCTAAGCTCCTTTAGACTTCGAATATGTTCTGGATACAAGTTCAGAAGTTCTCGAAATACCGCATTGCTGGATTCAGTGTCGAGAATAAATTTCATTTTGATTTTCCCTGAAATGAATTTAGTTTAGGTAATTAGTTAATCAGGGGTAATTACTATCATCAATTCCTTGGGCAACCGCTTTGGAGGCCAGTTGGAACAAGGTAGGGATTACCATGTTTGAAGCGGGATGAATCTGAAAAAAAAAAGGATTTGTGGATGGAAAATTGATACCAAGAGAAAGAGAGCAAAACACCATAAGCAGTTTATCACAGTCGAGAGCTTCCAAGTTGGAACCGTCAATCAAAAAAAAGTAATACCGATCAGATTCCTCCGACCATGATTCCATCAACAATATGTATTCAACGTTTCAGAATCAGAGTCTTAGTATCCTAGGGGATGGACCATGATCGTCATGTTAAGATAACTTCTATGAGGACGGGAATATGAAAAAGAGTGATGTAGATGTAAGATGACGTGGCAACAAACGAGACCTCAGGTGCAAGAAGATCCCTAGTACGAGTGAGATTAGCGCCGAGAAATAGATAGTGTGGACTAATAACCTTGCCAGGAGGCATTAGTGGGGAGATGACTCGATTAAAAACGGGTGGTAGGTCATGAAAGGAAACCTAGAATCAAGAAAAATCAATAGGCAGACATAGCTCCGTTCAAGCTCGAAATTTCGTATTGAGATAAAAACTAAGATCTAGACACTGACAACATCTACAAAATGATGTTGAACTCGGCCATATTTGGATGCGCACTTTCAAACCAGAGGATGTAAAGCAACCGGGTTTAGGGAATCGGCTCTTATAGCGCCAGGCTCCTTTTGCGGCATAAAGTTTCGAGACTGATTTTTGAATAAAGTATCATTTTGTAGATCTTGTCAAGTTCTACATTTATATTTTTATTTCAAATAAAAATTCCAACTTTGAACAGAGTTATGATCGAGTTGACTAGTTAGGGACAGGTTAGGGGCAAGCTTAAAAATGTGCTGTACAGCAAACAACACCAGGGATACTGTAGAATGCGTCTGCAAAACGTCTGCCTCTCTTGTCCCTAGAGATCAGGAGGAATCGATTGAGAACCCCAGAAGAAAAGTTTTTGACATTTATTGATTCGTACATTCGATAGGTTATTGGTCAGAGTGGAGGTCTCATCTGGGAGGTTGTTCTGCATATCTGAAGAGAGATGACGTGACAGGTCCTTCTGAACATACTCAAAACTGGTGGTCAATTAAACGAGCGAAATAATATTTCGAACACGAAATCATATACGCTAATTGTAAGAATCTTCTCTGCTTTCGAGCCTCCAAGCTTTTATTTTAACTGTAAAATTATTGGAATTTCTAGAATTTTCTACAAGAGAAGACCTTGCCTTTCTAGCAGTGGAAGTAACATAGAAAGAATTGTCAAACCAAATTTATTAATCATGAACATGGGCAAATTAACAATTACCGTAAAACCTCTAATAGAACGACACCCGGATCGTCCACTTTGATCTTATATATCTCATTTTCTGTGAAAGATATCAAAAAGTGGCTAACTGGTAAAATGTTGCTGATAACCTGATAAACATTTTACTAGTTAACCACTTTTTGATATCTTTCAAAAGAAGTGAGATATATAGGCTCAAAGTGGACGATCCGGGTGTCGTTCTATTAGAGGTTTTACGGTAAATAGCCGAATAGAGACGACTATAGACACTTAAAAGTGCATGTGCAATCACACGCACACGGCAACAGCATCTGTTTATGAATCACTTTGACAGGACTGGCACCATTGGAGCACTGCTCAATTCCACATTCACATGAACACTCCTCACAATCGGCTGAAAGAATTGAGGTTTAATTGATCCCAATTATTTCGATTCCCATAAGAGATATCAAACATCTGGCAACTGATAAAACTTTAGTTGTATTATCAGAAATATTTTATCAGTTAATATGATTGTGATATCGTTCACAGGAGCCGAGATAATCGGGGTCAAAGTTGAAGTGTAAGAATTGGTGTAAGCGAAAACGGCTACCTTAACTTTAATCCCAAATTTCTCCATTTTTTTCATTGCTATCAAAAAACTTTCAACTTATAAAATTCGTGGAATGTCATGGCAAATATTTTATCAGTTGATATAATTTTGATATCTTCTACAGAAGCTGAGATAATTGAGCTCCAAGTAGGGTAGGCTTAGAGCATACGGTTTTTCGAAATTTTCTAACAATTGTAGAAAACTAACTTTTCCTAGTGATTACTGGAAAATCAGACGATTGGAATGGACAGATTTCAGTTTTCCATAATAAATCCACCAATTTCGCTTTCTTGTCGTATTGATGCCAACATTGCCATCCACGGTAGACCTGGAATTTTGTTACTTGGCTCTCAAATATGGTTCTCTCATTGGAGCGCGCTTGCTCCCAATGCCTACCTCTATCATTTTCAAAAGGCCTAAAATTAAAAAAAAACTTACCAAATCCGCCACAATCGAGTGTGAAAAGTCGTGAGTTCCAGTGTTCAACTGATCATTTATACATGATCCTGAATCGATTTGGACAGATGGCGATGAACAGCAAACTGGGTCAAGCCTAAAAAGTTACAGTACTTTTAAAACGTATTCTTGTCCCCTTCTCAAAAATCAACTTCCTAGCACACCTAGAAAGCGAGATACAGCGTTTTGAAGTGTAGAAAACAAGAAACGCAGACAACGAGATACTCTAACTGCCTGAGTTTCTCAAATACTACAAATGACGGTACCTCAACTCCCAGGCGGCCTAGAAAGCTGATTTTTCCGCCAAAATGGAGCTGGTGACTTGAGCTACTCTGACTCTGCCTGTCTGATTGTGAGTCTCTCAGAATCACATCGTTTGGCTTTGGAGCGAGATTAGCCGGAGCTGACCAACTTTAATAAAATCGAAATCTTACACTGCCGCCTGAGTTGTGTTTTCCAACAAGTAGACATGGAAGCCGCCGAGCCAAGTGTTACCGGTGCATCCTTAATAATTTATATTTTCAAAAAAATTTTCGTTGGTCTGAAAAGCTGGTCTTTACTTTTAGGAATTTTGAAAAACTTTGGAACTTTTATTCAAAAGTTCTTGTCGTGTTGAAATATATTTCAAGCCTATTCAAACTAACCTTCCAACAACCCAGTACACTTTGGAACACTCTGTTGTGGAGCACAATTGGTGCTCTCTCCAAGTGCAATCTGCTCACATTCTACAGTAAGACTGCCCAAAAGGCTATAGGCAGTTTTAGCACGTTTGATAGCCGACACTCGGTAGCCTTTGTCACAGATTAGGGCCTGAAAATTATGGGGATACATTTAAGTTTCTGGAATTCGAAAACTCACAAAATCGATATCAGCACAAAAAGCGATTGATAAAAGAGTAGCAAACAAAAATATCGAAGGAATAGTAGCCTGAGAATACATCGTATAGAAGTCAATATCTCGGTCAAGTTGTCGGAAGAAATCTCTTCTTATCAGTTATCTCTTTTTCTCTGTATATTTCTCCATTCATTAAAAATGAATCATCGAAAACCGGATTGGTTCACAGCTTATCGTCATTTGGAAATTTCATTTTAAACTAGTCAAATTCGAAGTCTAGAAGAAACATTCTAACATTTTTCCGATTTGCTTGAAATTTTCAGAGTGTACTAAACAAAGAATGCGCTTCATTTTTGTAATTGATAATTTTTCTGTACAAATCCAACCAAGTGAAATAAGTGGCTACAAAATGGCCCAATTCTGATTTTAATGATGATTTCGGCAATTTCGGTCCTTTTTTGGTTACGAACTGCATAGTTCATTAGAATGAATCTTGGCCAGAAAGTTGCCAACTACAAAAATAAAGCTCTAATTCTGTTCATTTTACTCGGAAATTTTCAGAAAAATAGACAAATCCTGGGATACTTTTTCAGGAATTCCGATATGGCGATGGATCTTCGGAAATGATTTCTAGATCCAAATTTTCGGATATTGTCTAGATTTGAACTTTTAAAGTTCCATCTGAAAATCACAGAAAGAAAACAAACAAGGGTAATTATTGATTAGAATCCAAAAAACATAAAAATAAAAATTATTCAACCCATCGACGCTTTTACTGCACCCAAATCTCTGGTTTCCACGGCACGAAGTAGGGTTTCAGGGATGTTTGATGTTCGAATGGCTGCGGATCTGAAATGTTAACTTTAAGCCAATTTATCTCGGTTCCTGAAAAAGATACAAAACATTTGTCAACCAGAAAAATGTTGGTGGTTTTATGCCAAACGTTTTATCAGTCAACAGAGTTATGATATCTCTTACAGGAATCGAGATACAGTATCTCCAAGAAACTTACCTCATGGTACTCCAAATACTCGACGCTTCATTTCCCCCTTTCTGCAACTCCAATGCCGATACAAAATGTTTCAATGCCTCTTCATAGGATGAGAGTTGCATACAGGAGATTCCCAAATTGTATCGAGCTCTTACATATGTTGGGTACATTTTAGTGCCTCTCGATAAGCTGAAATTGCTTCAGCTGTGCGATCTCCGTTGGCAAGTGTTGCTCCGAGACGATTCCAGAGACGGGCGTCCTGAAATCGTTGGTTTAAAGGTGCATCTTCATATATACATTCGTTCAAAGGCGCATCGTGGGGCCTGCAGGGAATTCATAAATTGTCATTAAAATCCTTGCGCCTTTAAAATTGCCAGATTTTTTGAAAATACCATGAACACTGCCAGAAGGCCAGCCTATACTTGCACTTTGAGCTCAATTATCTCGGATTCTATTAGAGATATCAAAAATTGGTCAACTGATAAAATGTTTGTCCCCTTAATTAACATTTTGTCAGTTGACACATTTTTGATATCTTCCATATTGTCTATTCAATAAAACGTGG